AATGTTCATTCATGACAAGTATACGGTTAAAACAACAAATTAATTTTCGGTGAGGTAATTAGCGTTGCCAGATATCTTTAAAGATAATAAGGTGTCGATTTCTGAGGAAGAAACTTGTACTTTGCAGCTTTCCTTTTCTGTTTCTTTGTTTGCGGAGTGCTTTTAATTTCAGCTTTTAAACGAAGATTTTGGGGTGGATTTTGGTTTACACAGTGTCAGATAAATTTGCGCTCACGGGCAAACTCATAATAACATATCTTCGATAAATACAATTTTAGATAGACAAGCGGGTCGCACAAGCGATATGACAAGTCAAGAGAAAATCATTTTCTCTCGGACAACAACAAATTAATTTCCGGTGAGGTAATTAGATTTGCAAATATCTTTAAAGATAATAAGGTGTTGATTTAAGAGAGAGGAACTTATCACCGGAGTGCTTTTTATTTTAGTTATTAATCTCTCTTTTAGGGTTGGTACATTTCGCTGACCCCTAGCACATGGACTAACAAGATGGACCTGGTACATGAACTACTACAATTTTTTTTTCTTCTTTGCATCCAAAACATGTGAGCCCGGTTAGCTCAGTCGGTAGAGCATCAGACTTTTAATCTGAGGGTCATGGCTTCAAGTCCCATATCGGGCGCGCTGAATTTTTTTATTAACAATTTTTCACTTGTTCTCTTTTTGTGTTTAAGCTGTGACTCACGATCAACACAGGACTGCAATTTGAACAAACCTTCTTTTAAAGTAAATGTTTAAATCTTTCTCGCAGCCTGAGTACAGTTGTTTTATTAGACGCAGCATTTTTAATGGAAGCTGTAAAGCTTACTGACCATTCAGTAGCTCAAGTATGTGCCTATAAAATAAAATATGATACATACGTGGCTATAGGATATAAGCGACTGCCCATTAGAATCGCGACCTGTCGGCACTTTGTTAAGGAATGAAAATCACTAGCTTTCAGATTGTTTGACCATTTTAAAAAAAATTTATTTCCAGTTGATGTTTGATTTAATCGGTTTTTGATAGAGGAAAAACAAGAAAAGTATAAGGAAAGACAAAGTTCTTCCCGGGGGGGAATCGTACCCCGTTCTCCCGCGTGACAGGCGGGGATGCTCACCACTATACTACCGAGACTTTGATGGTAAACGAAAATATTTTAAAATCAAATCAACATCGCTTTACGAAGCTCCTGAAAGTGGGTATGAAACACACCTTTTCTGGTATGGTGGTTTTCAATTGAGTATCGAAAGTAATTCGGCTCGCATTTTCTGGGTTTGTGTATTACAACGCTGAGCGATTGGTTTAAAAAGAGCTCGCGTCACCTTTTCATCCAATAAGAAGAAAAACCAAAACCAATCGTGACTTGCTTGCACACATTTTCCCGCGCTTTGCGTCGGCTATAAGTAGTTATTTGTCAAGAGTGATTTCTTTGATAATGCGACCAAAACTTGAAAACTGGCAATGTCTACAATCTTATATTCTCCTTAAGTATTCAGACATCGAAGAAAAGACAAGTTTTCTTTTTCTTGTTAGTTTCCACATCATGTAAGCCCATTTAGCCCAGTCGGTAGAGCATCAGACTTTTAATCAGAGGGTAATGGGTTCAAGTCCCATGTCGGCCGCGATGTCTCTTTTTTATTAACAATATTTCACTTTTTTTCTTTTCGTGTTGACGCGGTGGCACACGATCAGTACAGGACTGCAATTTGAACAAAACTTGTTTTAAGCTAAATGTTTCGATCTTT